TTTTTTTTTTTTTTTTGAGACAGGGTCCTACTATGTATTCCAGGCCAGTCTTAAACTTACTACATAGTTCAGATGGTCCTCAAACTCCCACCAAGCCTCTTGCACCAACCTTCCATGTGCTGGGATTAAAGGTGTTTACTACCACACCTAACGCCAATTCTCTAGTCATTTAATCTACAGTCTGCTAATTTACTGTGTCTCCATTCAGTTAAATTTTACACTACTATTTTTCTCGCTAGAACATCATGAACAAAAATTTGAGAACATAAAAAATGAGGGTCACATATATAAAATTTTTAAAAGTTTGGATTTTGTTTCTAGCTTTTCAAATAACCCAACACTATACTCTTTGAAAAGTAAAAAACATGTCTATTTGGGGGTTTGGGGGTTCTTTTGGTTTGGTTTGGTTTGGTTTTTGATCCTAGGGATCAAACTCAGGACTTTGCACTTCAAGGTAGACATGGGTGCCAATGAGCTAAATCCCTGGCTCAAAACATGTCTATTTGTATATGGTAATTCAAGTACTTACCTAAGTGATAAGTTGATGAATGAATCATTTATTTGAGGTTTTATAAAACTAAGACTGCGTATGTATGTTATCTGAAACTTTTCTAGTAATTACCCATTCCTATCGATTTGATCTAAGATACTCTCTTGCCTTAAGATCCTTAACCCATAAAATGTAAGACAGTATACAATTCGAAGACACTAGAAATGTTTAAGTACACTAAGTATATTTTCGGCTAGGAAGAAAGTAAAAAACAGGGCTGGGGATTTAGCTCAGTGGTTCTGCTGCCTGCCTCACAAGCACAAGGACTGGAGTTTGATCCCGGTACCAAAAAAAGAAAGAAAGAAAGTAAAAAACAAAAAAACCTATAAGCTAAAAAGCAAACAGGAAGCTAAAAACTAAAGTAATAATCATAAGCCAACAAAGTTTTGCATTTTCCGAGCTGCATGAAGAGAAAACAAGGCTTTGGACCCAGCAAGCAGGACTAGGAAAACATAGTGATGTACAGAAAATCTGTCTTTGGTGCCTGAGTCTCTCTGCCCCTCAAGTGTTGCTTCACTTTCTTTTTGTGCAAGACCACAGTATTCCACAACTATCTACTCTCTTAGGTTCCTAATTTCTGGTGTTGGCATTATCAACTGTCAATTATTACTCAACTGTCAATTATTTTCTATTAAAATATAATTATGTATTAACTATTCCTCAGTTAAAATTGATAACTCATTTATCTATAAACCAATAAGTTATTAGATGATAAAAGATTAGGGTATGATTGCAATCCTCATCACCAAGAACAGTCCTCAATGTTACCCAGAAAACTGGTAACTAGAATTGGAGGGAGTGAGATGAATGAAGCAGGAAAAATTAAACAGAAGGGCCAAAGTATTAATGCAGAAAGAGAGAGAGCGTTCTCCACCAGGCATTATCTTTTTCTAAAATTTAATTAAGAGTTTCATCTTATATTTCACTGGGTTTTAATAGAAAAGCTTGTATTTTTGATATATACATATGATATATCTAATATTCAAGGGGAAAAGAACAAGTGCTTCCAATATGGGAGGTCAATTGGATTTAGCTCACTAAGGATATAAACATTTTTCAAATACAAATACAGACTGATTTTCAGATTAAGCCAGTTATAAAACTAATGATAAGCAAAGTCATCAGGTTTATTAACAAAACGAAAGTAGCACAAAATTCAGGATATCTAAAAGCTTGTTAATTTCTACCTAATTGGATGAGACTAGCACAATGTTTGGTTTTACCTTCCGGTGGTCTGTTGGATGTTGCCACAACGACGACCCCATTTTTGAACAGATTTTCAAAAAGCTGTTTCAGAATCATGGCATCAGCAATGTCAGTGACCTATGAACAACAACACATTTGTTTTATTTTAATTTCACTTCTGCTCTAACAAATTTACTAATGGCTCATCTTTTTTAAAGATGGAAGTGAATTCAAAGAGAAAAATTCTAATTATCATTATGAAGAAAAGAACAGACAATTAAAAACATGAAAGGCTGTATAACAGCCTTTTAAACTTAACTCTTTTTTTGCAAAACTATCATTTTTATACAAACTATCAAATGGTTCTACAGTAACTTCTTTTATAGAACTACAGGTGGAAAGCATAAATAATTGTCCAAAACATTTAGGAAGTCTAATTAATTAAAACATGACCAACTCCCTTCTCCTGCTGCTCTACCAGCCCCTCCTCCACATACTCCAAAAGGAGAGAGAAAAATAAAATAAAATATACAGGCTGTTTCTAATACCTTTCTGGCAAGGGTCCCTAGAAAGGTGACTTTAAATGGTCATGGGACTTCAGAAATAAGGACAAGTAGCCAGTGAGACATAATCAGCTGCTGTTGAAAATAGAATGATATGACATAGATACTATTGTGCAATTGTTGCACAAAACAATTCAACAGATGGCCCATCACAAAAATAAGCAATTTCATTGTTCTTTTTAAGTGCCTTCTATTACTGTCCATGAATAATCAAAAGGCACTGCAGTCACTTCCAGCACAGCCAGCCTCTGCTAACCTTCACAAACACAAATATTCCTTGTAAAAAAAACAACTACTATAAGAACAGTTAATACAGTGCTTTTTTGGGGGAAAAAAACTCGGACAAAACTAGAAATGCATAATGCAAATAAAACTATCCATCTGTTAGATTACAAGGAAATACAACTAATCATCTTTTCTAAAACTACTTATTTTTAAAATTCACAATGAAAAAGTAAGCTTAATAATTTTTAAACTTTTTAAATTCACAAAGAAATATAGCAACAAGGGAAGTTGACTTAAAAAAATGTATAATTAAAGCTAATTATTAATCACTATAACTTCCCCTTAAGTATATAACATGAGTTTCAGATATTCTCAGTGTAAAAATATTTAGATATTTCTTTAATCATATTTCGAATAATCTTATTAAAAACTTGCTTTATATATAGTTCCTAAATATATCACACTATTATTTTAAAGCCCCATAAGGGAACATAGAAACTAGTGGAATTCTTACAATTTGTTCAAAACACTGAGCCACTAACTAAATGTTTATAACACCACAAATAACAAACTAGGTCTAAATCACTTTTCTCTGACAGCTGATGTCTTAATCAAAGTTTAATGATTTTTCCCCCACCTGAATAAAACAAAACCACGAAAGGGGAGGTACAATTTTCTTTTTCTGTCTCAAGCTATAACTTGAAAACATTAACTAAAACCTACCAAAGATTCCTTAAATTAAAAAGACCTCAGAAACTTCAAAAGTGGTTATTTAAATGAAAAGAAAAGTCGTGCTGATATTATTTAATTTGGAGCTTAGGATCATTGTCAAATTTTGCTTCCGCAAAACCAGTCACAGAGAAGGCCCTTTTCAAATGCTTAAACACCAGTGGCATTTCTGATGAGAGGACAGACTGAGCCTGCAAATTTTACTAGCAATTGCATTTTGAAATTGGATCTCAACTTACTCACTTTAAAAAATATATACTAATTAAAGGCTACTCAGTTTTAGAGAATAACAATAGTCATTTGACTACATTGCTAATGTCTTTGAAAAAATTAAAAATAGCTTGTGTGCCCTAGGGTGCAGAAAAGTGAAGAAATGAAGATTATTACACAGAACAAAGATTTAAACCAAAGAATGAAGAAAGCTGATAGTAAAGGTTTGTGGTTGAGTTATACTTTACTGTTTTTATATTGCAGAATGTCTCTGGCTTATCAGAGTAAAGTAACCTGGAGGAGCTATGACTAATTAATAAAGCAGGAGTCACTTAGTGTAGCTGGGTACCAATGTATACTCTTTTGATCTTGTCCGGCACTTGTTCAGCTTTGCTGGAGAACAGTAATTTTACAGTACAAGTGAATAGAAGACAATTGGTCCCACATTCTTGGAGAGCCAGTTTTTTCAGCACCCAGTATTTCATTACCACCAGGAACAAAAGAGAAGGCTACAGAGTACAAATAAGGGTAGTCTGCTAATACAGAGTGGAGACATTTCATTAGCATTAAAGAGAAGAGATTTTTTTATGACCTAGAGTTGCTTTCCATTATGACTCACTTAAAAAAAGGCGGGGGTGGGGGGAACCTAATGGTTAATTTACATGTGTAAGTGCTTGAGTCTCAGTCATCCACTGATTGGTACAGTGCCATGTAATGAATGACAAACATAAGCATGCATTATCAGTATTTAGTATTAGTGCAAAAATAAGCACCTATTTTTATTAGCAGTTTTTAATAGCTTTCCTGCTTTATAAAAATGGTTAAACTATTTTAAGTGATATTGATGGCTTACAGAGCAGACATCTACGAGATGTTCTGCTCATTTTTTATACCATGTTAGTAAAACATCTCTTCACTTTCTGTAAAAAGAGACATGGAGACATCGTACTTTAAAAAAATCCGTTTCCCTCAGTATTTTCATATCTTCAGAATCATAAAGTTTTAACAAGTAACACAAATATTCAAAGAGGATATAATAAATATCCTAAAAGAAAACTTTGAGAATAAGTTATTCTTTTATTTTAGCAACTAAAACATGTTTTTTAAAAAATCTATCTAAACATATTTCTCAGTCAAAATAAGAATAGTATAAATGCTCCCACAGGTAAAACTAAAATGCCTCACTTAGCAAAGATGATCAAGCTAATGAAGAACACACTCTGCAAATGTGATCTAAATGCTAACAAAACATAATCTTAAAACTTCCTTAAATTTAAAAGCACAAATAATTATCTGGTTTCAGACCTCACCCAGGAGAGGGTGATTTGCTGGTAGCCATCTTGGAGAGGAGCCAACTGAGCTTGGAACTCAGAAGAGCTGCAGGTGGACTCCATCTAGTGGCTCTGGTGCTTCGGTTTGAGGGCCGAGTTCAAGACAGCAGGAGGGCAGGGAAAGGCGTTCAAACTGGCAGGAGACACATAGACTGTTGTAGGCTCAAGGAATCTGGTTCCAGCCTAAAGCCAGAAATCAGCCTGAACTTTAGGGGAACTGAAGGGACAGGCTGGCTGGGATTATCCACTACCCCACGGTGAAGCTGCAGCTAGCTTGCTGGGATTGATCAATTTGGCTCTGGAATCTGTTTGCCCACAATGCCTAACAGTGACAGCAGAGACACACCTTGAATTGGATGTTTTGGGGTTTCTTTTTTTCTCTTTTTTCTTCCTTTCTAGTTGTTTTGTTTTATCTTGACTGTTTGAACATAGTTTCTAGGTTTTGTTGTTGTTCTGTTCTTGTTTTTATTTTTTCCTTTTCTCTTTCCCACCTGTCTTCTTCACCAGTTTCCTAAAGTTTGTCCTCCAGCCTTGCTTCTGGTCTCTTCCTCTTCTCTTTCTGTTTTTCACTCCCTAACACCTTTTAAATCTTCTCTCCTAAAGGTAAAATTGCCATATTAAGGGCTATAGTTTTGTCACTCTCTAGGCTGTATTTGATGCTATTGCTATTGTTGATTGTACTACCTTAGCCAAGGTGACTAATTGTGCTAATCAGTTGTTGCTTCTGGTATACCAAGACTGAGATTGCCTAGGGGTCTTTAAAAAAAAAACCAAAAAACCAAAACAAAAACAACCTATAGGCAAGTGCCAAAGAACTGGCAGCTGGGCTAAGTAGGCAGAAACTTCTCATGCCCAGTAAATTAAGGAGGTAGGATCCTGCAACAGACTCAAAACCCAGAAGCTAGCTATGCCAGGAAGACACTTCTGAGAAGTAGTCATTTCCTAAGGGTTCTGAATACTGGCAATAAAGCTACTCACCATAAGGAATTTACAAGCATCAACAAAGGAATCAAACTTAAAAACAAAAAGAAAAGAAGATCAGAAGATACTTAAACAAGTTGCAACCCCCACCCAGACTTTCAACTCACGAAAGGCAAACCCCAGAGGCAATGAAGTGGAAAAATCAGAAAGTCACCCACCTGGACTCTCTGAAGTGGTAACAGTAGATGAATGAGGCTCAAGAAAAAAATCAAAGCAGAAATAATTTCCCGATAACTACAAAGATGGTGTCCAGAATGAAAGATACTGATTTTTAAAATAGAGGAGCTCAGGAACATGATGGAAACCATGAATGTCCAGCATAGGAAAAAAGTAGAATCCATGAAACAGACTCAAGCAGATATCCAGGAGATTAAAAACTCCATTGAAAGTATACATAGCAGAATGAGCCAATGTGAACACAGAATATGAGACAGAGATGACAAGATTGCAGTCAGCGATCATGAAAAGAAAGATTTCTTAAAAATAGCAAGGAACCACAAGAAATCCAGCAACTGCTAGATGATGCAAAGAATAACATAAGGTTGATTGGAATCAGTGAAAAAGCAGGAGATAGCACAAATGACATAAAGAATCTGTTCTCAGAAGTAATGGCAGAAAACTTCCCAATCAGGGAAAAACAATTTGACGTAGAGATTAGTGAGCCATATAAAACTCCAATTAGCAATGATCAAAAAATTCTTTCCCATGGCATACAAGATTCCAGAAATTCAACACAGGGACAGAATATTAAAAGCTGTTAGAGAAAAGAAACAAAGTACCTATAAAAGAAAGCCCATCAGAATCACAGCAGACTTCTCAACACAAACTCTCAAGTCAAGGAGAGTTTGGACTCAAGTATTTCAAGCCAGCCCTAAAGGAAAACAACCTCCAACCCAGACTGATGTACCCTGCAAAACTATCCTTCAAAAGTGATGGGAAAATAAGATACTTCCATGACAAAGAATACCTGAAGAAATTCATGACCACCAAACCGCACTCCAAAGTGCTCTGAAGGATATTCTAGGAAGGGACAAAAAGAATTACAACTCCATGAACTCCAACAGAATGAATCCACCAGGCAAAGCAAGAAATTAAACAG